AAAAAAAAAAAAAAGTGGTTTACATGACAAAGCACATCATTAAATGTCAGTTAGGCAAAAACTGTATTGACTGAAATGGGGAAAAAATGAATCTCTGAAGTTTGGGTTTTACTGTTAAAGTTGTTCAATACTCCTGTAAGTATGAGAACAGGGTGCTACAAGCATAGAGAAAAGTACTTGTAAACAACTGGATTAAAATTAATCACATTACTGTTATATAATTGCACTCCCATATCTATCTTGAGAACTGCAAAACAAAGTCCAAATACTTCAACAATGCGAACTGTGAAATACAACAAGTTTTATAAGCAAATTTGCTTGCAATGCCAAGCTCGTCTTCTTTTCTAAGTGCCTGCTGGATCGTTATTCAATGGCTTTATTGTTTTGGGATCAGAAAGCGAGGACTTCAGCTCTACAATGCACAGTTTGTCACCCTTTGGATAAAGGAGCTGTGAACCAAAGCAGCAGGACATACTTGCATTTAACACAGTGTGCTCTGAAGAGTGGAGCACATGCTGGCAAGACTTGAAAGCCCTGAAACGCCGGCCAGTTCCTCCAGTTAAATTGGTGAGACCTCCACATACCTGTGGGGTGTGAAAAGGCCCCGGTGCTCATCATTCTGCATTAGGATTGAGTTCATCTTATCAAATGGGCCTTTCAGCATATTGTGGAGTAATTTACCAACCGAAAAAATCATAACGATTTTCCACTTCATTTACCTCAACAGTAGCTACGTAATGTCAATAGTTTTAAACATTTAATTAGACACACCACGTGTTTTATGCTCTACTAATTACATAAAATTGTGCTCAATAATTTTCTTCCCATTGAAACGAACCTTAAGCAGCTGTTAAAACACTAATTAGGTGAATGCTTCCATGCTGTGCATTTGACTCGGTGCCAAGCGCATTCCTCCCAGCGGTGAGCGGGCTTTTTCCAGTGTCCATGATGCAACCGCGAGCGCACGTCAATCTCTGCTGCACCACACAACTAAGAGTGAACTCCAAACATTTATTTTGGCCCTCACCTTAGAAAACTAACATTATATATATATATATATAAAATGCAATCGTTCATAAAGCTGAAAGTTCAGTTATACTGGGCTCTTAGTTTCCCGTGCTTCCATTTTTATCTCCAAAGAGCAGCTAAATTTGACGCAGAGCTTGTCATTTGTCATCTCCTATGAAATCAGCACGAGCTGCCTTACAGACATTATCTCACAATACAGTCAAATGAAAACGCATTGCTGAACCTACTACAAATGCAGCCTTTAGTACTTAGATATTTTAGGGTCATTTTGTTCCTAAAATGTTTTTAAAAGTTATGTGAACCACAGTTATCCATGCATACAGTGGCAAGGGATGGGAAAACCTTTTTTATTTTTCAGTTTTACACAAAAAGATAATTCAGAGAGGTTTTATTTATTTAAAATATCCTTAGGAAAGGGCATTCAAGTCTTACCATTGACAAGTTTGGTGATCCTAATGGCATCTAGAATTGAGTCAGTACCTCTAAATGTCTCAACTGGCTTCACTCACAGCTTTAGCCTTGGATGTAACTCCAGTAAAATCAGGTTCTCTTAATTAGTTACTAAGTCTATACAGCTGCAGGCCTAATCCTGGCATTCCTACAAGGACAGAGGCCTGGCAGAGGGGACCAGATTGCCAATAACAGGAACTGTCTGACAGTTCCTACTTCAGCCATCCCCCAAACCTGCCCATGCCTCTGTGAACTGGGATTTTGCTCTTGACCACATCCTTATGATTTCAGACTCAGGATTTGTTCCTGAAGAATTGCTGTAAGAAGCAATTGCCCATAATAGCCATCCTCAGAAACACACATGCATACTTTTCTCTACAATTTTTTTTTTCAAAATTGGACCCTAATAAGTGCACATAAATCAAAAATTCAAAAGAAAACGGGGATTTTTGCCTTTGACAAATTTTTAAGCATTATCACCTGAGTATGCTTGCTGCCTCTACAGCCACAAAAGAATGCTGGTTCTATTACCAAAAAAATAGATGGTTTATATTCTTACTTAATATCTGGTTCTTCCAAATCATATTAATGATACTTCTTTTTTAATAATTTCCAGTGATTTGGGCTCTAGCTGACAATGGTTCTTCTAAAATACACTGCACCTGTGGACTTCCTTCTTTTATAGAAAACTAAGCTGGTCCTGGCTAAGTCCTGGCTTCCTTTTCTAGTGCAAGTAGGAGCTGCATGAGGTGTACTGTTGAATTTTTTGTTATTTTTTTAACTTGCATGTTCTGAAGTCAGGAATATCACTAAAAAAGGACACAATTCTAAGCCACATACCACATCACTGAAAACTGTAAGAACAGTTAAGAGACAAACCCAAAACATAAAAGATGTTGAATTCCCATAGTTCACATTGACCTCATGTACTCGTATAAATGGAAGACATATTTTCTTTAAAGAAAAAAAAAAGAAATAAAAATAATTTATAATTTTACATATTCAATTTCTGTATATAAATTCAAAAAGATTTTTTTCTGTCTTATTCTATTTTGTTGAAAAAACCCTGCCAGTGCAACAAGCCCACACACAGCCAAGAAGCATTTCTGGATAAAAAAGAGCATTTTTCTGTTTTCTGGAGGTTTCCAACTTAGCCTGTTTCTTAATACTTTTTCAGGTGGTAACATACCTGCACAAAGTTGGTAAAGGAAGGTATAGCCAAGGCAAAGTTTATATGAGCCAAATAATTTTCCTTTTTTCAAACACTCCCTTCACATAAGAGACAGAGTGTAAATCTTCATCAATTAATTATACTGAGATTTAAGAGAGGAACAAATGGAAGCTGTATTAAACATATCTGTGGATATAATTTCAAGTGCTCTTTCCACACAAGACCCATAATACTTTTCCTAGTAACTAAGATGCCATTGAGTCTCACCATCAAAAGCTTGAATCCTAATGCAGAGTTCCCCTCCTGAGCTATTCCTTTTACAAATCAAAATAGCAAATCTAGTGTTTGTTTTCCCACCTTGCAGGATAAAACATTCCCATGCACCAACTAATTCCAGCAGGCTGATCTAGGAAAAGGTCATCTAAACAAGCTAATTGGTGTCCACGTATCATTACTGCAGGACAAACAAATAAACAAGCAAACCATAGATTTACTTTGTGCTGTTAGAGATCAGAATGTAAGCCCTTTTCAAAAGTAAGTTGGGCAGTCTCATGCCTGTGAAAGGAAGGAATTAAACTAAGACATATTTCTGATAAATATTTAAATGGGATGAGCATGTGCACTTCCTACATATTTGGAAATTTCATTTAGTACATGATAGCCACAGTGTTTTCTTCTGGTTTTGTGTGGACTTGTTTAATGTACAAGGATATTCTGTAAGGACAAGGACATTCTCATTTTCACATGCTTAAAATACTGTGAAGATTCACTCAAGTCTTCTTCCAGAAAACGACAGTGGAAATTACCCTAATGTGGAAGAATTACACTGTACACATGTTGCTCTCTTCTCTAGCCATTCATTAAGTTTGGAAAAGACTTCTAAGATCATTGAGTCCAGCCATTAATCCAGCACTGCCAAGGCACCACTGAACTACATCCCTAAGCAACACATCTATACACTGTTGAACAATTTTGGGGATGTGTTTTGGCTTTTTTTTTGTTTTTCCACCACTTCTCTGGGAAGCCTGTTCCCGTGCATGACCACCCTTTCACTGAAGAAATTTTTCTTCATATCTATCCAATCTACACCTCTCCTGGCACAGCTCGAAGCTGTGTCATCTTGTCCTATCACCTGTTACCTCGGAGAAGAGCCTGACCCCCAGCTGGCTACACCCTCCTTTCAGGGAGTTGTGCACAGCAATGAGGTCTCCCCTGAGCCTCCTCTCCTCCAAGCCAAATAGCCCAAGCTCCCTCACCTGCTCCACACAGGATTTGTACCCCAGGCTGTCACCAACTCTGCTGCCCTTCTCTGGACACGCTCCAGCACCTCAATGGCCTTTCTTGTCCCAAAACTGGACACGAGATTCAAGGTACAACCTCAGCAGTGGCAAGTCCTTCCTCAGGCTGATGGGCTGTTCACCCATAGCAAGACCCCAGTACACCTTTCCAACATTCTCATCTCACACCATGTGAAGATGGCATTGGGATCAGATGACTTCCCAAGGTCCCTTCCAACCCGAACATTCTACAATGCTCTGCAGAACACTGACAATCACATCAGGTGGCCCTAACCTCAGTATCTTTCACACACAGCTCATTTCCTATTTTTTCCTTTTTACTGCAGGAGCCTGTTGCACTCACCTGCCTCAGCCTGCATAACTTACTTCCTTTTAATGCATAATGTGCAGCAGAGTACAGGGGCTACAGGGTAATTTTCCCTCTCCAGCTTCCACATTTACTTCACGGAAACTTCCTTTATCAACCACATTTGTGTTCTTAGAAACGTGTTCATTTCAATAAAAATGACTTACTGTTTTATTGAAGTTGAAGGCAAATGACCCAAGTCCTACAAATCATTAAAAATACTTTTTCTCATAGAATCCTAAGTTGCTTTTTTCTCAGTAGCAGAGAAAGCCCTTTACTATAAAAAGCTACATTTTTGCCAACACTAAAAATTCTGCATTAAAAATACACTAAATGAGGGACAGATGTTTAAAACAGCGGACCTACAATGAAGTATTAAATATTACTGGCACAGTGCGCCCTTTGGTACAGTTTAGTCTCTTTTTGCAATAGGCATGTTTTCACAGCTGTAAAAGCACCAGAAATTACTGTCTTTGCTCCAATATTAATATAGAAATCTATTAAAAAATACACCAGCCTGCTGAACAGATTAAACTATTGTTCATACATTTCTATCATTAAAATAATTTGCTTTTACAAATTAACATTCAAGTCAAATGTTTTGAAGAGGATGAGTGTCACTTTGAAGACTACATGGATTATCTATGCAAAACCAAACAGTTCCACTTTTGTCAAAAGAAAAATGCATCTCTTTAAGAAATCAAACCTGCTACTTGATGCTTTGCTCAATAACAAACAGCAGCACAGAGAAGGTGGACGATCTTGTGCGAAATCACTCCAAACCTGCACTGAGGATGCAGTGTAGGATTAAAGCCCTTTTCCACAGGTACAGGTGGTGTCTCAGAGCTATGGGAGAAAGTGAGACAGGTCATGGAAGGGCAGATTCTGTGGTCTAGGGGATTTTTGTGTTAAAACATGATAAATATAAACAAGATAGGGAAAGAGATAACACATAGAACGGAATGATAATGTTAATATCTTCACATAACTGTAACTGTGAGGATGAACTTGGTAAATCAATCCTTAAACCACAGTTGGACATGCTCAGCACTATACATAGCTTCTTCTACATTAAAGATTTAATTTCTATATCCCAGGCTCATGGCCGAAAGCTCCAAAATCAAACATCACAAGTTCATATTCTTTGCCAAATTGTGTCTCTCTCTGTGCTTCATTTACTTGAGCACTAAGCAATTTGTGATCATCATAGTCCTGATGAAGTGGTGCCTACTTAAGTTTGCAACCCATCTGGAATAAGAATAGTTCTGAGATATCCATAGCTCAATTCATTTTAGTTAGTGCAACGTCAAATATCAATTAGGAACATCAGTCTTTGTGACATGAAACTCTTTTACTACTCAAAGCAAGGAGATGAAATGTTACAAAAATCTGCATATAATGCTAAACGAAAGGTGGAAGACTTAGCTTGGGTCCTTGAGGTCCAGGAAAAAATAATTCTATCGAATGTGCATGCATCTAATACTCTTTGTCCAAACTCCTGACAAAGAATAGATGGGTTGCTGAGGAGAGAAAAAGCCCAGAAACACAGTTCTAAAAGCTAGAAAAAGCCCTACAAGAAAGGGCAGAACAAGACAGGATAAGGGCACAGCACGTTGGCCAGTCTGATCAACCATACAGGATGCAAGTAATAGAAGCAAAACCACACGAGGCTTTGGGAGTACAGCTCCTACTCAATAAACAAATTCCTGGGACTGGAGACATTTTCTTGGAAGGAATTTTTATGGCACAAACATTTCTACTCTCTTCTGGAAGCCCTGGCAAGCCAAACCCAAACCTCTCCCCCCCACTGCACGCACACACACACAAAAACCGAAGATGTCTGCAGCCCAAGTGAAATGTGCTTGTCATCCTCTAGAAAGCCCCTTGTTATCTATCTCGAGTGGGTCTTTGCTGAGGAGGTTCTACCCATCCATGAAGCTCAAAGCCCTGAAGGAATGCCCACATCTCTGGAAGCCTTGTAGCCATGATGGGCATGTCCCACACAGAGCCCCACCAGACTTCCTTCCCCCGCGTGTGGGGCTCCAGCCGTGCTCACCTGGGTGAGCAGAGGTGTGAAACGGCAGCACTGCCACAGTGCCACAGTGGCCAGCACAGCCCAGCAAAATAAAACAAAGAGAGCCCTCACCCCTCTGGTTGGACAAGAAAATGCCAGGGGCTATAAAATGTAAGGAGGGAAGGGAGATGGGGGGAGTAAAAACAATTTCTGAGCAGGAAAACAGGATAAATTCATTGAATAAATTATTTACTGGAATTATTCACTTAGCTTCAATTACAATCTATCCATTCTATCCACCATCTACATCAAATTATAATAAATTATCCTATTATAACTTGGCTTCATGCCTGCTGATTTGCAATAGCTTGTTTTTTCAGAAAATAATGGTCTGATGCTGTTCAACCTTCCACAGGATTTAGATGTGTACACCTGGACGTACCCAAAAGACAATTTATTTTTGGGAAACCAACTCCTTTTGTAAATTAAAGAGAGGGGGACTAGCATATTATTTTTAAATTGCCAGCAGATATTTTGAAAACATAAAAAAGACCCAAGTTATCAAAACAATATTAAAATGAAAATATCCTGTTGCTTTCCTGAAGAGTTTGGCATTTGTTCTGTAGTGGATACTAAAATGCAATTCTGAGAATATATAAGCACTCTCCATGCTTCTGCCATCAGGTCTCTTTACACAGCAGATGTTTTACGATTCTTCTGAATCTAAAATATCTTGTTCTGCTTTATCAGACAACCTCAGAAATTCATAAAGAGTTGTACTTGAAAATTAATTACAGCAGGATGCAGAAAAAGGGGGAAAAAACCAAACACGTGAAGGTTGTTTTTTTATGTAATATATAAAAATAAGATTGGTTTCCACAGCCACAGAGTGTAATTATTTTTATGAATCCAAACCTTCACTGGGATAAAATGAGCACAGGTCAAACTAAAAAGTTTGTTCTTTCAGTGTAACTGTTTTCTTTTTTTGTTGTTCTTTCAGCATAACTGTTTTGTTAAGTAACGCTGAAAGAACAGCAAGTGAAATATGCAGTTAAGGGTTTGCAAACATGAGAATACTGCTCACCTTCCTTTCCTCATTCCCATACTCCTACAGTCTCTGTGCCTATAAGCTGGTCAGACAGATGCTGAAGTTTTAATTTTAAATTAATCAGCAATGTCCTTGATTTCAACATAGCATGTATCATATTGTGGATGAAAGCAGAAATAAATATGGAAAAAAGGTAAGCAAAAAAACTGACTTTTACACATTTTTCCAGAAGTTTATGAAACAACAATACAAAGCAAAAGATAACCAAGGCCTTGTGGGTCTCTTTTACAAGGGGCAGCTGCTGGAGCAGCAGGATGAGGCCAAATTCTACCCATGTGAGCAATCTGAAGGCAAATTTAAACCAGGTGGGTGAAAGGGTGGTCAAGCTCTGAATGGGATAGATTGGTTCTGTCCCTGGCAAAAAATGAAGGACACTGTATAAGATAGCAGAGCAGAGCAATTCCAGCACAAATTCATATCCACATTTCAAGAACCTGAAAGCACCTTGGATGTAGCCACCTCAGGTTCCACCTTTTCAAACATGCATCTCAGAGAAAACACCTGCCATCACACCAGTAAGGTGAAAGCAGCGCTTACTTTCTCTGTCACTCCTTACAGGAAATGCATGGGGTTTTATTTTGGTAGTATCAACTTGTTCTGCTATGCTAGAAGTGCTTCTGTAATCCTAAAAACACACTAGCACTACTTCTATGTAGTTTCATTGCTGTGTCTATGACCCTTAAAGGGTAAGCATATACTTCAAGACAATAATTCACTTAGCTAGTTGCCAGAGCCAGCATTATGTGAATAAGCTTGATAGATCTCTGTTCCTAACCTATCAGAAAACAATTTATGGAATCTAATAAATTAAAAATGAATTGTCTCCAGCAACCATATATTTCACAATAAATGTACGCTCTTTGATCTCAACTGACTCTGCTATGTTCTAATTAATTTTTATACAGAACTTTGCTATTGCCCCTTAAATGGATTTTATACACAAGACTAATCAGCTAGCATTTTCAGCTGTGCTTTTGTCTTTTCACCTTCCAACCAAGTTAAAAATTCACAGAATTCTAGAATTTATGGCATAGCTTTCTACATATAAGCCTTTTCAGTTTAAGGAAGGAAAGACCTATATATTTTCTCTGCTTTCTTGACCCCAACAGGCACATAATAGAAAGAAATACATGCCAACAGCTTAAGGACTTGCCTCTAGACAGCGTGACTGTGGAAATGAACCCCTTTCTAGCTCCCAGCTGCTTTTTTATCCAGCAAAAAGTACTGGAGTTACTCAGTCACTATGTATCCCCTCCACAATCTTCTAAGGTAGGTATAGAGCCATTTGGTATTTCTGCCTGGAATAGCAGGGCAGCTGGCAAGGAGTAGGGGTTTGACCCTGTTTCTGCTGGGGTGCTGTAATTGCCCATTCATGAGCAGATTTTCCCACATCAATGAACAAGAACCTGGAAAATACAACCATGACTGCAACACAAAATCCCCAATTTGGACTGGATGGTCTATGCACAGATTATTTAATGCATCTGATGTGTAGGTTCTGGCATCAGGAAAAGAAAATGCCAGTGAGGCTGGGGCAGAAGGCATTAGCCTGGGGAGTAAAGGAGAAATGAGGAACTTGGTCAGTGATGCCATTTAGCTCCTGCTTTGCCACAGGAGGTGGGTTCTGTTCACCTGCAGGACTAAAATGCAGTAAAAAAAGTGAATTAATTAGAAATTAAAAGGCCTTCACTCCCTCATCCAAATTCTCCTCTGTCTTTACAAATTCATGTAGAAAGGTCTAAGGCTCTTGACATGTTTTTGCATAGCACCATCATTGTCCTTGCTGACAAGTAATAAGCTGTGCCTGTCTACCTGCCATTAATCTCTGAAGGGCAGTATGATGCAAACACTTAAGCTATCAAAGATGCTCAAATATATTTTATATCCATCTATATACATACAAAACATATATGTATGCTTTGAAAATGAAAATAAAATTCCAAAGAATTCCCAGTGAGAAAAAGAACAGCAAATACAGCCTCAGCATCAGGCATCACTACACAACAGAAAATTCTTGTTGAATTGCCATGTGGTCTAGAGACACCAGTAAAGTTGACAAAATTTCCACTTAATGAAATGTCAGAAAACTGTCTCTCTAGAGTGGCCTAAGAATGTAAGGATCCTGCCTTGGGATACTGCCAGATGACCCTGGGAGATCCCTCTTAGCATTTTTCTACAACCCTGTAAAAATAGTCACGGGGGTTTTAAAAACTGGCATCTTAAAAACATTCTTCACTCTGTGGAGAAACTCTGTCAAGAGGCATTCTTATACTTCAATATTGTCTTCCTACAGACTGCTATTACAACCAGTAAGCAAGAATATGCAGAAATTAAATTATACTTTTAGAACATGGGGTGGTAATTTTATTTTGTTTTTCACATACAGACCATACAAGATCGTTTATATTAAATGTTCAAAAATTAAAATGAATTCCATAATACAGACAAGAAATCAGTGCAATGGGAACCAAATGGGAGTAATAGGATCCAGGTGGTTGGAATGGGTACAAAAACCCATATAGATGGCCATGTACGGCACAAATTGGAGCCTGGAGATGATTATAACTGGAACCTTCCAAAAGAAAGAATGTCTGTAAGCTGTTAATTGTATCAATGCAAACATCTTGGTGACTTACCAGTGAGGAATGAGCAATGAGGGAGAAGTGTATGATTTACAGCTTTAATTGTAGCTAATACAATTAAGTAGCGTAGATACTGAAACTA